AACCCTGGCCACTGTGTCTGCCTAAGCAGGCACTTTAATCCGCTGAACTATTTGGCCGGTCTGAATGGGGCATTTTTACAAGCCTTCATCTTCACTGGATAGGACTTGTCAGCAATCGCCATATTTTTGATGACACCTCATACTCATTGAAAAGGATTTTCAGATCTGCTTCAAAAAGGCTGAAATGAGTGTGTTCAAAGTGAGGTGGAGTACTTTGAAGGATATTAATGGTTATGTATCTTTTTACTGTAATAAATTATTATTTATACATATACCATATATTTTTATCATCCCTTATATGCACAGTATGAGCCTAATTTTGTGAGTGTATTAATATAGTATGTGAAAATTAGTAATTACAATCTTATGCTATACAGTATTTTAAAAAGATATGGCAAAGTGATCTGATGCAATATAATAAAACAACAAATAAAGCTTATCTCTGGTTTGTAAATTTTTATTTTCTTCTTTCTAGTTTTCACACATCTGCACATTTTCTACAATGATCTTGAAACTTTTAATCAGGAAAGTAATTATTTAAAATATATGGAGTCACTGAGTGTGATGGTGCATGCCTGTAATCCCAGCATCTAGGCAGGAGGACCTTTGTAAGTTCAAGGCCAGCCTGGGCTAGAAAGTGAGTTCAAAGCCAGCCTGAACTGTAAAGCAAAATCCTGTTTCCAAAAAGAAAAGATTTTTTTTAAAATGGAGTAAGACAGGAAGAGCGGCAAGCATGCACTGAACAGGCATGTTTATAGCTGACATATATTTAAAAATGGGATAGATTTGGAAATATTTATCATTACTTAATATTCAAAGTGGAAGAAACAATACATAAAGAGAAAGGATTCTATTTGGAGGAATCTGCAAGTCTTCCCGAGTCCTTTCACCACCCAAAGACTAACGGCCTCTGCTGCTAGGAGGAAGAGATGGTGGCTATCTCTTGGTCTGACATTGGAATGAAGTGCAGCATGACTGTGTTTGCTATGAAGGTTCTACAATCCTTCCACAGGAGTATTCAGTAAAACAGTCTCAAAGCACAGACTGTCATATTCTTCTTCCAGTGTAAGTCTCACAGTGTATTAAGAATATAAAAAATAAACTCATGATCAAAATTAGTCTCATTTTCATTCTAAGCCACACTTTCAATAATCACAATGTAGAATTCTACTTTTGAGAGCCTCCGCCAAATAAACCAACTCTTGAACAATGTCTAACACATAGCGGGGCATTTGAAGGATATGCAATAAAAGAAGAATGATGAGAGGTCCTCATTGAACCCAGGCAACTCAAGGAAAGATTTTGCAGTAGGATGCCCACATTTATTTTATACTTTTGGGTAACCCAAATCAATACCAAGCTAACTGATAAAGGTATTAGGATATTCCTGAAAGAGAAAGGAGACAGATCTGGGTGTGAGGCTCTGGCTCAACACATTAGACAGAACCTCAAATGCAAGACTCAAACTTAAATAGTAGGGAGAATCCTAGCTACCAGTCTCAAACTCAGGTCCAATCCTGCACTCTGGTCATCTCACCGCTCTGGCTGGATCTCAGTTTGAATCCAAATCTGTCTCTAATATCTCCCAGCAGAGGTAGTTCGCCTTGTGACTTTCAACCAATAGGTATTGCTTTTTCATGACCTTTCACAGATTATTTTCTCTACCCTAGAAAAACTGAAGCAGAGGGAAAAAAATATCCTGTTTGAGGGCCACAGAGCAAAGTGATAAAAACAAGCTCCTTTCAAAATCTCTCTTTTGCTCAGCACAACAGAAGTAAGGTGGTTCTTTTTTAGATTAGCAATGTAGTCTAAAATGTCACATTTCTTTTCACTAGTGTCACCTTACATAAGCATCTGTCATCTCTGAAACCTCTCTGCCCCTTCCGCTCCCCACATTTGGTTAGCTACAAAGTCTTGTTGATTTTTTTTCTACCATCATTTTGAGCCTGTGCTCTTTGCCTGACCTCAGATTAGCTATTTGGTTAAGCCCTTGAAAGGGTATTCTCTCCCTAATTCATTGCAACTCTTCTTCTTCTGTGTCTTCCTGTGCCAAACACATAATACACGCTCCACACTGCTGCAGGGTTATCCTCCTGCAGCTGGAATCCGAGCCCAGCCCGTGTGTGTCAGGCACACTTCTCTTCCATCAGCAGCCATTATTTTAGGAGAGCATTTGTCCATCATCATCCCCTTAATAATCTTTCTTAGCCCTCAGGGTTCCATGTGCCCTACACCTTACTTCCTTCAGAAAAACAAAACAAAATCCAAACTCCTTAGCGCAGGTTCTTTAACAAGAGACCATCTTAAATTTTCAGTTTTGGTTTTCTTTTTCCAGCCTCAAGTAGTTTTTCACATATTAAAATAATAACCATCAGGGAACTCATGCCTTCTGCTTTAGCCATGATATACCCTGACTGTTTCCTCCCATACTAACTGCTAATAATATGCTCTGAATCCGATTTGTTCTTCCACTTTCTCCTGTAGTCAATCTTCCAGACCTATCTTTTCTGAAGTGCGAACATACTTTTACACCACAGCTTTCAGAACCATGAACATCTCACTCTCGCAGAATTCTGCAGAGAAATACAAGCTCTGAATCTCTAGCACCTGACAACCTGTCCCAGAGAGCAGATACCTCATAAATCTCTGAAACCATGGTCAGAAATAAAAGAAGGTTGACAATCTATTACTTTCTTTTTTTTTTTTTTTTTTTGGTGGAAATGGAACCCAGGACTTCAGGATACGCTGGCCAAGTGCTCTACCATTGAGCTACATCCCCAGCTTGCAATGCATGTAGACTTTTTCTTCTTTTTTTACAGTACTGGGAATTGAACCCAGCAGTTTGCACATGCTAGGCATGATACCAGCAGGCTACATCCTTGACCCACTATACTTTAAATTCTTTCTCTCACTGGAATTTCTCAAAAATCAGCCATATCCTACAAGAACAAATGTATATTGTTATGGTCTGAATCTAAACTGTTTCTCACAAGACCCACTGTGTTGAAGGTCTGCTCCCAAATCCAGCAGAGTACAAAGGTGGGGCTCTGGAGAAGTGATCCAAGCACAAGGATGCTAATCTCATCCACCACAGAGCAATCCACTCATACATCATAGCCACACTGGTGATTAGGGGGCGGGGCCTATTTAAAAGGAGCAGCTCACAAAGGCATGAGCATCTGGTACCTGCTCCTCCTTCTCTGGTTCTTTGTCTGTCTCTCTCTGTCTTGTCTGTGTATCTGTCTGTCTATCTGTCTCTCTCTCTCTCAGCTTCTTGGCTGTCATAAGGATAGCTGCTCCACTCTGTCCTTCTACTATGTTCTGCTACACCTCAAGCCCACAAAAGAGGAACCAGCCCACCAACTGAACCCAAATAAACCTTTTGTGTGTCAGGTCGACTTTCCCAGGAATTTTGTCACAACAATGAAAAGATGACCAACATATTTTCACATACAATCACACAGAAACCTGTGTGGAAATAAAAACAAACTTTGGTATATCTGTACCACAGAATACTACTTAGCAGTAAAAAAAAAAAAAGTATATATAGATAAATCATGATTAAATGAAATAAGATGAATAACTCTTGAAAGAATTGTGCTGACTGATAAAACCAATCCCAAAAGGCTTGTATGGTTCCACTTAAATAACAAACCTGAAATGACAAAATTAGAGAATGAACAGATTATTTGTTGCCAGCCTTAGGGATGGGGTACCAAGCAGGGCATGAGACTGGTGGATATAGCCACAGAAGGGCAATGCAAGGGATCCTTATGATAATGAAAATGTTCTGAATCTTGAGACATCAATGTCAACATCCTAGTTTTTGATATTAAAATGGTTTTTCAAGATGTTATCATTAGTGGAAACTGAGAAATGGGGTATAAAGGACCTCTCATCATTTCTTACAATTGCATGTGATCTTCAATTATTTCAAAATACTGTTTAATTTTAAAAACTACAGTATATCCCAGGTCAGAACTGAAAAACAGATAGTGCTAAAACATGCCACAGTCACAGTTTTAAATGGCAGATTTCCCTATAACTACTGGTGTCATAGAGTTCTGACCACAGGGGTGAGCAACTCTCTTAAAACAAAGGAAGAGACCAGTCATTTGGCCCATGTGAAAGAAGAGGCTTTTTCACATATGAAAGCCATTTTCAGAAACTGGGATGGCCAAACTCCTTATAAATAACTAACAAAAGAACAGTCCTTGCCCAGGATACAGCTAGAACCCCAAGTGATAGTCTAACTTTACAAGGACAAGGCTGGTGCTACATGAAAATGAGTAACAGCCACTGGTCTGTGAAATCGGATCTGTTTGCCATTTAGATCCATGTGACTCACTGAGGCAGGCTGTGTTCATATCTAAAAATACAGGAAATCTGCAGCCTAAGCAAATTTGTCTCATGGACTCATGGGTTTTCTATTCAAATACTGCACTTTTGGAGATAGTGATTTTATATTTGTATCAGCCACTGGCAAAGGCCGTTCTCCTACTCAAGTGACTAGGTCTAGATTGATAATCTAGAAGCAAAGAGAATCAGAAAATTCCTCAGTACTTATCCATCTTATCTGGGAGTTCCATACAAGCAACATGACCTCTGAAGTCCTCTACAGGACAGAATGGCGCCCTGTTTTGGGGCGCTGGGTGTGTACCACTAAATACCTGCCCCCAAAGAGAACAGAGGGACTCAAGAGCTATTAAAGACAGAATAGGGTGTGGTGGTTACATGAGTGATCGAGTGCCACTTGGATGGACACACAGAGGGTGTGGTGCCTGTGATCTGCTATTTTTTATCTTGTACAGTCTTACTCAGAACCTTTTCCAGTAATTCCTGGAGCCATGATGACTGGCTAACAGGGCAATGGAATTCAGGGCCTGAGCTCTTGGATACCCTGATTCCTGCCCCAGACACCAACCCTACTCAGGAACCTGGTGACTTTTCAGAGTGGTCTCCCCCAGAGACCGACATGGCGGAGTCCTAGCCAAACTCACCCATCAAAACACTCAGCAGCTTTTGCACTCTGGAGTTGACCCCTACAATTCGATAGAGTCCTTGCTCATTGATCCCTGAAAAGAGACACAAGGATGATTTAATTAGAGGCACGTCAGAACACAAGTCAGGCAGACACAACCACATGCTCATTTTATTTTTCATTTTCTCAGTCCTTCCAAAAGCTGCTCTAATTAAAGTCTGCTGTCACTCAGCTCAGCTCTTAGCAAAGGAGTGGGATTTGGTGCAGCTGTCTAGGATTTCATGGATGTGCTGCACACTTCAGCCCTCGTGTTAGCCCGGCCATCAGAGGGGGAAGAGACTTCCCTCTTCCCTTGCCAGATGCGCCATCTGAAGACTTTCAAAAGATGAAAAGTACATTCTTTTAAAGATGTCATGTTTAATCAAGTTTTTAATTTTAAAAGCCAAAGATGACATGACGAAAATCCATGATAGAATGGACAAATATTTTTTATAATCTATTTTACATATAGAATGAAAATGCTAACATGTAAGGACATTTATAATTTTTAAGAATGTTAGACTGAAACACGAGAAAGTCTATTCATCTGCAATATAAATATTCTCTATTAAGCAAAAAGACTACCTTTATTGAATCCAAAGAACTGTGCAATTAGACTAGGAGTTTGCTTTTAATTGTCAGAACAAAGAAACAAAACTAACCCACAGTCACACTTCTGATTACTGCAATGCACGGGTTAAAGCACCACTGTACCATTTATAAGAGGGACAATTCAGACCATGGATTTGAAGTGCTTTTTCTCCTGTAAGCCCTCGGTCCGTTGTATCTGACACCTCTGAAGCACTGGTCTTCTGCTTCCTATCATATTAACCTGATGCCCATTCTCTAAACTGAACTTTTTCTTCTTTTTTTTTTTTTTTTTTTTTTTTTTTTTTTTTTTTTTGGCTGGCTTGAGTTGTGGGGAGCGAACCACAGCAACCTGAGCCTGACTGCTTTGTTGAAGCAGCCACTTAAAGAACTGAGCTAAGGGGCAGGCCCCCTAAACTGAACTTCTTAAAGTGTAAATCAATTCACATCACTTCTTATTTTAAAACCTTCCAACAGATTCCCACTGCACATAGAAGGCTTGTACATCTGTTTATGGTAGCCCCTAAGGCTTATCCCACTGAACACCCAGCTACCTCTGATATCATCAGCCAGCCCACTCACGCAAATGCGTTAACATGGACCCTACCTCACAGCCTATGCACTAGTGCAGTGGTGGCAAACCTATGGGACACGTGCCCAACAGACTGCTTTGGGTTTTTTTCATCACTGAAAGGCCTAAAACAGTTTTCTATCAGCACTCTATGCTCAACCACCTCTTTGACCTACCCTACTGTCCCCTCAGCCAGTACTCCCAGGCATTTCCTTATTCAGTTTTCTTTTATTATAATTAACAATGCCTGAAATTATTTTCTTCCTGAAATTCTGAAAAAATTTAAGAAAGGTATGATTCCCCAGTTCGTTCGTTCGTCCTGTTCTGTCCTTTTTTCTTTCTTTCTTTCTTTCTTTCTTTCTTTCTTTCTTTCTTATTTAGGACAGGGTCTACAGGTTCTCATTACACAGATTGGACTCAGTAATTTTCTTGTTTTCACCTCCTAAGCACTGGGATAACAGGTGCATGCCACCATGCCATCTCAGTCTGTCTCAGTGTGCCCCAGGGGCAGGGCCAGCATGGCACACCAGACAGGACCTCAGTCCCTGCATCTGCCTAAGAAGGCACTTTAATCCGCTGAGCTATCTGGCCCGCCCTCCCCAGTATTTTCTATAAGACTTATATAGAAGAGGAACTAATGGATAAAAAAGAAGTGGTATGAAAGCATAGGACTTTACAGTAGAAAATTTGTCAGCCTAACAGCTTGAAAGGGCTGCAGTGACTCTCTTTCTTCTACCCTTATGCCTTCCTAGGACTTTACACAACCCTAGCTCCCACTGCTGGGCAATTACTGATGAATCCCAGAGTGTGAGATGTCTGTTCATCACTAGTTACTACAGATACGTGTGTTTATAAATACACTATAGTAGAAAAAAACCACCTCTTCCAACTATCTGTTCTAAAATGGTATTTAACTTACACTATTTGTATTTCTTTGTGCCAAATGAAAACTTTCCTCAAAGTTCAAATATATCATTTTCATCCTTGTTTCAGAGACAGGAAGGGATAGAGAGGCAGAGGCTGGGAAAGCAAGCTCAAGTGTAATACTTTTCGCTATGACATTTTCCATGTACTTTCCGGTTTTGTATCAGAAAAGGTTGTCCTGAGCCACCAGTGTGCATTTATCACAGATTCTGTCAGCAGTCGTACATGTTGGACTTGGCTTTGGTTGCTGACGACGGAGGTGAACAGGCAGCCCAGCACAGACCAATGAGTGGACCTCACTGGGCAGAGGCGTGCGGGACTCAGGTCTGCCTTGTTCTTACACTTCTCTTCCTTAACCACGCACTCCTTCCCCATTCTCTTCTTTTAAAATGAAAACCATACTTAAGCTCAGGTTGAAAAACTGTCTTAACAATATGCACTACAAAAAATATTTAGAAACCATAGTTAGGCCAAACAGATAAATCAAATCAAAGACAGTAAAAGCCACCAGATAGAATCGCCCAGAATACCAGTACAAACTACAGAACTGGATGAGCTTTCTCTCTGCCAGTCCTAGAATGAGCTTGAAGTAGATAATTTCCTCCTTTAGTGTACATAATTAAGAAAATATCGAGTGTCAAAAGACGTACTTCCACTACAGTTTCAGTGATTCGTAGATTTACTGCACAGACAAGCCCCTGCTGATTCAGCCGAGTCTGGGCCAGTGTCTTACCCTGTACGTCATCCACATCCTCATGTAAGCACCCTCATGGCTCAATCAGGCCTGCACTTATTTCTTCAAGATAAGTTCCTACCGACTTCTACTTTACATTCTCTGGGGGTATTTTAAGTATCTCTCCACGTTGTTCTGCCTCCACTGAAGGGAGATGCAACAGAAATAACCAAACACTTTTAAAAATCCTTCCTCAAATTAAAATTGAAAAGAAAATCTTTTGATAGGATTCATGGGTGTAGAGGTTCAAAAGGTCTTTCTTCCTCTTTCCCCTTTCAATGGGTGAGAGCCTTTATTTTAAAAAAAAAAAGTTTGCATTTTTCTACAGGTAAAGAGTTATGGACCATGCTTTAAAACAAAGAATCTCTTTTAAACAAATAAAAAGGGCTAGGGGCTGGGGAGATAGCTCAGTTGAATAAGCGCTTCCCTGACAAGCGCAAGGGCCTGAGTTCAATCCCTGGTTCTGAAAAAAAAAAAAAAAAAATAATAATAATAATAATAATAATAATAAAGGAAACAAATAAAAAGGGCTAGTAGGTATAGAGATGATATGGTAAATAAGATTTGTATCTCTGATAAGAGTATAAATCAGATCCAGCAGAAAGATGGGTAGCAGCTTCTCTTAGAGCACAAGAGACCAGTGCACTCTTAACTTTCACACTGTCAGGACTCTCCTTTCCGGCAGTGTCCGAGGAGAGACCACAGGGGTGAAGCAGCCTCCTCACCTCAGAGTCCTACACCAGTGGACCCTGCAAAGGGCCCTGCAACAGGGCCCTGACTCCTCAGTGTGAATGGTTCCCTAGGGACTAGCTCCTAGTCCAGGGTCCTCAGTCTAGGGTCACTGACTGAGACATGAGTCACAGCACAGGGTTCAGGGGCCTAGGAATTAAACAGGAAAATAACTCCACCTTTATTCTCACTAACCTATAACTCACATGATACATTTCCTTCCATTAGCAACAACCCACAGTAGCAGTAGCAGTACCTGCCACTTGGTCAGAAATCACAGATATTTTCAGAACTCATCATATTTTTTACAGACAGCTTGAAATATCAGTGCTTCCAGTTATCAGAACTACCACTACATCTTGTGAAAGAACTTGGAAAGAAACAAAGAAATGCTTGCCTTACTATATCACAAATATGTTTTTATGCAATTTAATAGCTGAATTTCAGTAACTGGTTTCTCTAAGCCTGTGTATTTTATATGTACGACTTTAAAATATTCTTTTGATCAGCCAAGAAGTTAATTACCCAAAAGAGCTTGAGAATCCCTGTTTCAGACCAAGATGGCCTAAGGAAATACACTATTAATGGCACTAGGGGAGTTAATGAGTCACGGAAAGTTGGGCAACAGCAGGTAGCAGGACTGATACCTCACCAGACTCCTGACCTGCCGGGAGAACAATGCCATCTGTTAGACCACGTTACCTCTGGTTTCCACTGCATGGATGCACTTCCTGATAATGCTGAAGCCAATGCTGTCCAATTGTGCAGCTGAAAAAGCAAGAGGAGGGCAGTCAAGTTGTAGGCCTACAAATTAATCTCAGAGAAATGCTTGACCAGTCCACAACGGGCCAATTACATGGTGTGGTCATATGCCCTTAAATTCTTCCCATGGTAACAATAAAAAAACAAAAATGCAAACAAATAATTATTACAAAATAGCTAGCACTGATTGATGACTTACCATATGCCAGGTACACATGCATGCTTTACGTGCATTATCTTATTTAGTTCTTATAGTGACCTCAAATTATAGGAACCTGCAATACTATCCTCCATTTATAGCTGAAGAAACTGCAGCACAGAGCAAGAAGTACCTTTGAACTAGAGCAGTGGGTCTCCCTCAGAAGGCAAACCTTAAGTGATCTATACATGCTGGTATGTGCTTCAGATAAATTACCTCCTGTAAACATAGGAAGTCCTTCAGGATGATACCATCATTAGCCCTGTATTATAGCCTATGGCATGCATGCCATAGCTGGCTGTTGGTGTAAACTGTCAGCTCTAAAAAGTTCACCATCACTTTAATACAGGTGAAGAAACTGGGGCTTGGCTAAGTTAATATCTTGGTTGAAGTTACAGGGTTAAAATGTGGAGCCTTGCTCCGGAGCCCATATCCAAAGTGCCTTACACGCAACTTTCAGATAAATCCTAATCCTGCTCAGGAGACTAGGGAAAAGTAAAAATGGAGAAGAAGAAAAAAAAAAAAAAACAGGAAAGACAGGGAGAAAGGGATAAGGACAAGGGGAGAGAAGAAGAAGGGAAAAGAGCGAGGGCTAGAGACTGAGATTCAGAGGAAATTAAAGCCAAGAACTAAGAACACTCCAAGGAAGAAGCACTAAGGCACAAAGCCATTGCTCCACGTGGTAAATCAGCAGGTGGTGACAGCCTTCTCCATCTGTTTCAAAACCCTCTAAGGTCACTCAGAAAGTAAATGATCCACGTCAGCAGCTTTTTCCACTGGGAACACCAGTTTCCAAAGCAATGCAGAGGCTGCAAATCTACCACACCTGAGCCCCAGTGATAAAATGTGTGTGGCAGTCTTTAAGAATGGGCTCATCTTTGCCCTGGGGCAAGCTATTCCCCAGCTTAGCTCTCAGAGTGGAGAGGAAAGGCACAGAGCAGGAAGGTAAGAGCTGACAAATGCTTTGGGATCATCCAGGCTGAGCAACACACTTGTCCCCAGGGAACTGAGCAGAACCTAAACTCATCTGGAATTTATCCAAATGAAATCATCCCCCATAACATGGGTGAACTCAGATCTAGCAAAGATATTAAAAATAGCTTTAAACCACTAGGAATATCCAAAATCAAACTAAAATGCAACGCTAATTTGCACTTCTGCTTCCGAAGTGAAACAGCTCCTGTACTTCTGTGCATACCTATAGCTTAGTGATACTTAAAACAATGCTCAGCCTCTAGGAAAATAAGCACCAAAAGAGAAGCAGGAAAACGATGCTCTTTTCCCTTGAAATTACTGTCATACAAAGCATTCTTTTTACTCCTCTAACACAGTAAGGCGTCTACTAACTCAATCCTGCCTGCTTTCAGTAGGAGCCAGTATTTACTCTTTAGGTAGTGATACTGTATATCACATTTTCTGACAGGCAATTGCAAGCCAGGCTGAGATAATTTTTCCAAATGAAACTCAATTAACCCCTGCAGTAAATATTTTTCAAAAGCAGTAATAAGATTTAACATACAGGCCAAATTCCTGTTGGAATGTGAGGAAGAATTTTTTGTGTAAATTAACAGATGTATTGATATAATTCACATACCGCGAAGTGTCCAGTCATTTCTCCTACATTTACAAAGCTATGCAGTAATTACCATTAACTCCTGAACATTCTGTTCCCCACCCCACAAAACAAAACAAAATATCTCTCTCTCTCTCTCTCTCTCTCTCTCTCACACACACACACACACACACACACACTAGCAAGCATTCTCCCTTTCTCCTTCTCTCATTGTAGGCAACCACAAATCTCCTTTACTTCTTTGTGGACCTGCTTATTCTGTATATTTCACATATACGAAATCATAAAATGTGTGGCCTCCAGTAGGAACTTCCCTTGCTTACTGTGTTTCCAAGGTCTTCCCTTGACCTTGAATAGCAATACTACTCCTCCATTCTCTTTGGACAGGCGAATGGATAAAGAAAATGTGGTATTTACACAGAATGCCTGCTACTCTGCCATAAAGGACAAACCTGAGCCACTGGTGAGAAGACGGATACACCTTGAGACCATAATGTTAAATGAAATAAATCAGACACAGGGGCTTAAATATCATGTTGTTTTGCTCATACAAGAAACACAAAATATAAATAAAGAACAGAGGGCTGGCCAAATAGCTCAGCGGATTAAAGCACCTGCAAGCAGGCACAGGGGCCGGTAGATCTTGTGGCCTGCTGAGCCGCCCCTGCCCCCAGGGTGCACTGAGATGGCCAATGAGACTGGGTGTGGTGGTGCTCGCCTGTAATCCCAGCACCTGGGGGCTGAAAACAGGAGGATCACTAAGAGTCCGATCTACTTGGTGAGACTCTGGAGGCCCTGTAGACCCTGTACTAAATACATAAAAAATAAAATACAAAGTCAAAGAAGAAGTAGGAAAGTAGAGCTTTTCCAAAGGGTAAGGAGACCAAGAGATGAAGGGAGGGGAAGAGAAGGGGATAAAAAAGAACTGAGCCATGTTAGGGATGAGTGTCATGCCAGCGCCCACGAGGGGTGTGGTCAACATGTCCCGTGACCATGTCCTACTAATAATGACTTAAAAGGCTTAATAATATTCCATTGTGTGTATATAGCATATTTCACTTTTTTATTAGCTAATAGACATTTAGGATGCCTTTATTTTATGGCTATGAGACTAATACTACTATGAATAACAATGTGCAGGTCTCTGTACAAACACAATTCGATTTCTCTCACATATACACCCATACATGGAATTGCTGGGTCATAGGATAATTCTATGTTTAATTTCTGAAGAAACTTTAAAATTGTTTTTGAAAGTATTATACTGCTTTATACTCCCACAATCAATGCATGAGGGTTGCAAGTTTTCCAGGTCCTTTCCAACATTTGTTACTGTTTCTTGTATTACAGCCATCTTCATAGATGTCAAGAGGCATTTTACTGTGGTTTTAATTTGCATCCAGTGGTGCAGTGACTGGAGGTGCTGAGTACCTTTTCATGCACAGGAGACGCCTACTCTTTTATCCACTACTAAGAATAGAACCTGCTGGAAAGTATTTGTGAGACAAAGAATTACTTTTCATGTTTAAGGAGATTTCCAGAAAGCTTATAACAATGACTTAAAAGTCAGCTGAAGCCTTTTAGCTTCTCTTTTGAGAGGTGCTTCAGAGAATCTTTTCAAAGGGAAGACAGACAAAAAAGAGAAACAAGTGACATTTTGCACAGGCTCTAGGAAGCTACTGAGATTGATCTCAGACTTCGATGTTTTAGAAGAGGTTTGTCAACGCACTCTTGTTTTAGGCACTGGTGAACTTTGTTCTAGATAACGACCATTTCCTTCACCCATAAGCACCAATAAAAGTTTTGGAAAATTGGAAAGAACTTGGCAACAAACAGATACAGAAGTAGCTCCATCATGCCGTATAAAGCTAGAGCTAAATGGAATTAAATTGTATTCACGAGGTGTTAATGTTTACATCTTATTATCTGTAGTCTCTCAGAGAAAGCAAAAAGGAACTACAAATAGCGCTATGCCAGAAAGTGATTTCCTGACCAACAATGTCGCTTCAGCAAGCAACGAACTGGTTCATTCTAAAGTGGTCAGAGCTGTTGATGACAAGTGGCTTTGTATTTTCATATGGCACAAATTTTGATCTGTGTGAAAACAAGTTTTTTGAATGTTAACTATTTTCTGACACTCTGGAGTTACTGTTACTCTTCCCATTTCCATTAGATACAATAAATGGTTCATGGCCAAAGGAAAAAAAAAAAAGTGGCTCCAGTGGTCAGAAGATGAGCCACCAGCCCAACAAGCAGAAAAAGTAAAAGGAGAGTTGAACAGTTTTGCAGATGCAATTCAGTTCTTGGACTTACTTTTTACATAGGAAGTGAGGAAGTGGGATCTTTTTCTAGGTAAGGGATATGTTGTAGAAAAGAATCTAATCTAATAGATCCACAAAAAAATTAAACTCTCACCAATCTATGCTAACTGCAATTACTTCTTTTAGAAAATGGCAAAACAAAATCTCACACTTGGTGACTGAATAAATGTAAATTTTAGTGTTCTTCCAATTTCTTATGTATTAGCAAATCCTTCCATGCAGATTTACCCATAAAATCTTATATGCTTTATTCAGATAAGACAGCATTTATCAGTAATCTTAATTGTCTAAGTGTAAGTGCATATAGTATTTACAGAGCGTAAAGCCAAACAAAGACAACTAAAAGCAACTCTGTTAGACTCTACTGTATTGCAACTGTGTATTGTCAATATTTACAGTTCACTAAGCAGGTAAAACTGTGTTAAGAAATAAAATGCACATCACACAAATGTTCCCTAACAAGGGATTCATGAAATATAATTTAGCAGTCATTGTTCTAAATCTCTAAAGTAGAACCAATGCAAGTTACTACATTATCCACTGCCCATTACCCTGGCATTTCTTCATCTCTCTTTGTCTCTTATGAACACACACACACACACACACACACGGGGGCAGGGGAGATTTGATGTCTATCTTCATCAACTTAACCTTCCTGGGACATTGTGATTAGGTTACTAATGATTAACAAGTACTTTACCATTTAACATGGACTCAGTGCCACTAACATGACAGGAATTACAGCGCACCTGTAACCAGATCACTGGTCTGATCTCTGCCCCCTGGGTGCATCATCGAACACAAATGAGATCTCCTACTCTGAAAAGTGAATTCTCACTAAAAGATTCAGCACACTGTCACCACCAAGCCAGTCTGCAAATGACAGAGAAAGTGGCCTGCCAGATGGAAGTGG